GTCCGAAAGGGCGTGAGTTCGAATCTCACCGCTGTCACTACTTTTTTTTGTCTTTCGAATATCAAAATACAAGTACATAAAAAGAATATTAATAATTATAATAAATAATTAATTAATTATTGTTAGTTATCATAATATAATCTACCATTGCTTGCACAATTCGTATTCATCCTTTTACCCTGATCTCAAATATCTTTCATATTAACCATCATTATTTTTTTCATTCTCAAATAATAAATATGTTCTTTTCGAAAAGAAAAGAATATATATATTATAATGATAACAACAACATAGAGATGTGACACATAGAAAAATTCATATCACTATCATCATCATACACATGCTTTTTTTTTTTTGTAATATTATTCTAGTAGTGTCTTATTGTTCCTTTCGCTAACGTCCACCTCTTAACAGATTATCGATCAGTTAAGAATTATATACAAATGATAAAAACGGGAATAAAAGAATTATTAACATTTCATCCTAAAGAATGGATGAATGCATTCCGACCAAATCCAAATTATCCTCTGTTTGTACGTGGTGATATTGATGGTTTTGTTGCTTTTTTTATCAATAGTTTATCAACATTATTAGCAGTCATATTGAATTTACAACCTATTTTAGGTGATGAAATTGTTTATGGTAAAATTGTACCTGGGTAAGTCATTATATTTTATATAATAGAATAAAAAATAATGTATACTTTTTTTTATCTAAAAGAACAGGAATAGCAATGGTATGGGGTAACTTTTATTATGTTTATATGGCTCGAAAACTTGCATTTAAAGAGAAACGTGGAGATGTATGTGCTATGCCATATGGTGTATGTACTCCAGGTGCATTTGCTTTTATCTATGTTATTGTTTCACCTACTTATTATGGATGTATAACTAAACATGATAAAGTTTATTGTCAAGAATTAGCATGGTATGTAGCTTTGGCTAGTAATTTTATTACTGGTCTAGTTCTTCTATTACTTTGTTTATTTGGAGAATTTATTCGAAAGAATACACCTAGTGTAGCATTACTTTCTTCAATATCTGGTCTTGGATTTGTTATTTTAGCATTGAATGAATATTTACCTATCGATGAAACACCAATAGTAGCTTTTCTTCCATTTATAATTGTTATGCTTGGATATTTTGGTGGAGGTATTAAAGAAAATAAAATATTCATAATTTTATTTATATCTTTAAATTCATTTTTTAGTTGGATATGGTCCCTTACCGATTTCATTTGTTGCATTAGTAGTAGGTACAATTCTTGCTTGGAGTACATCAGTTAATCAAGTTTCAGCAGTACATGAAGCAACACATCTTGTTAAAGGTTATATACCAGTATTTCCTATAAAAGAAATATTTCAACATATGGATACTATTCGTCTTTATCTTTCAACAACAATTCCAACAGCTATTGCAATTGCTATTGGAACTATTCAATGTGTTGAAACAGCTAAACGAGCTGGTGATTTTTATCCTACACGTGAAGCAATGTTTGTTGATGGTATTGGAACATTAATTGCTACTTTATTTGGTTCAATTCTTAGTATGACAGGTAAAATAATTCATTGAAATATATGACAATTAGTTTAGATTTTTATAGCTTATATTGGTCAACCAGCAATGAAAAAAATGGGTGCAAAACAAGCATATTCAATGATACATGGTCTCAGTTATTTACCTTTATGTTTATTAGGTTTCAGTGGTATACTTATGTCAGTAATTGCTGTTGTAGCAATTAATCCAATTGTTGTAAGTATATTAAAAATTAATTACAAAAAAACTCTTAATATTTATCCATAGATTTTTATTGGTTTGCTTATATGTTCTGATACATTAGCAATAACTCCTCAACGTCATTATCCTGCTTTTCTTCTTGGTATAATGTCAGTCGTGGCCGACTGGGCCCAAGGTACTATTGTGAATGGTGTATCTAATGCATACTTAAATTTTACTCTACCCAATGTTCAATTTTCACCCAATGTTACCTCTGCTATTACCGGTTTTTCATATCGTGGTTTAGTCAATTTTGCGGGTGGTTCCCTGTTACAGAGTGTTTTTCTTACAGCTATTCTAATGTATATTATTGATCGAAAATTTTTAAGAGCTGCAGTATGGTCTCTTCTTGCAGCATTCTTTTCTTTATTTGGTTTGATTAATGCCAAAAATGTCGGTGTATTGATAAAAAATACAGATGATGGATGGCGATTTACTATAGCATATACAATGTTAGCCATTTTCTTTTTATTATTAGAATTTGCTCAAAGAAAACATTGGGTAAAAGGACAAGAAACTGAACCGGATGATTTATCAAGTCTCGAATGGGCTGAATGGAAAAGACAACAAGCATTGGAACAATCAAATACCAATGAAACTATACAAATATTAAACTGATTTGATTCTTTGATATTTAATATAAAATAGAATTATATTATCTAAATATTGAAAATCAACAATAAAAATTCTAATACAAGAATTATACACTTATTTCTTTTTATATTGATAAAATATACGAAATTCATTTGATATATAATTTCTTACTAACACATCGGAAGAAAAACAGAGCTAGTAAGCAAAAAATATAGAAGAAAAAATATATAGAAGGAATGAAAAACATCAATAGCACATGTAATATTTTTCTCGTTCTGTAAAGCAGAAAAGAAAAAAGTAGTGACAGCGGTGAGATTCGAACTCACGCCCTTTCGGAC